GGCCGCCCCCCTGCCCGCGGCGCTGTCGCCCTGCCAGGTGTCCGACGGCTGCGACGCGGTGTTCGTGGCGGGCAAGGAGAGCCGGGGCGCGCGCGGGGCCCGCGTGGACTTCTGGTTCCGGCGCTTCCACGCGGCGCTGCGCTTCACCGTGTGGGCGCCGCTGCTGCCGCTGCGCGTCGACCTGCGCGACACCACCCTGGAGCAAGTGCGCGGCTGGCGCCTGCCCGCCGACCCTGCCGACGGGTGAGGGGGCGCCGGGGGRGCTCTGCGCGGTGCCGCCGCAGCGCGGGGCATCCGCCCGGCTGAGCCCTGAGGCGCTCACGMCGCGCGCTGCCACCCCCGTGCCGTGCGCCGTGCTGCACCCGTGCTCACGGCGTCCCTGCGGAGCCCTGACGCGCTCGTGACGCGCGTCTCCTCGCCGACCGCAGCGCCGCCGGCGAGGCGGAGGAGCCCGCGGAGGAGGCGGAGCGGCGCGCGCGGGGCTGCCGGCCCCAGTACCAGCGCACGGCCGTGCGCTTCCTGGCGCACTTCGTGGCGCACCCGCTCGACGGCGGGCGCCACCTCGCCTACCTGCCCGGCGCCCAGTGGCTCCTCGACGTCTCCCACCTGGTGGCCCCGCGCGCCCGCGTCGTGGACCCCCGGGTGGCGTCGCTGGAGGGGGGCACGGTGGTGGTCGGCCGCGAGCCTGGCGTGACCTCCGTGGAGGTAGGGATGGGGGCTCGCGGGTGGGGAGATGGACACRGGGGGCAGCGGGACGTAGGGGGGACACCGGGGAGGAGGGAGGCTGGGCATTGGGGAGGCCGAGGAGAGGGAAGCGAGGCCGGGCTGTGCCGCTCAGCCCAGCGTTGCCCGCRTGCCCAGGTCCGCTCGCCGCTCTCGGACGCCATCCTGGGTGAGCAGATGCTGGTGGTGTCGGAGGAGAAGGTGACGGTGACAGAGCTGCGGGCCCAGGTGGTGTCCGGGCTGTCCCTCACGGTGACGGCCGAGCCGGGGCACCCCGACGTCATCGTGGCCGCCTGCCACGCCACGGCCGCGCTGCACGCGCCCAAGCGGGTGAGGGCGACGGGATGGGACGGGGGGCACCCAGCGTCTCCCACGGGGGCGACAGTCCTGTGCTGTCCCCTCGCTGCCCGCTGCCAGCCTGCCTCGTGTGCCCTGGCAGGAGGCGACGCTCTCGGTCTGGCTGGCCTTCTCCGACCACACGCTGGCCCCTCTGGAGCTCTACGGCTGGCAGGAGGCCGTGGTGAGCGTGGCCTCGCCGGAGGCCGCCGTGGCCTCCGTGC